TCTGCCCCCGTGCAGGGGGAGGCTGGTGGGGCTGGGCTGGTGGCTGTGGCTCAGGATGGTGGTTTTCCTGCTGCAGAGGCTGCCCGTGGAGGCCTGTCTCCTGAGCCCGGGCTGGGGGCTGCCCCAGCAGGACAGGCAGCGGGCTGCGTCCTGGAGGAGGTGCCCGCTGAAGAACATGTAAATCCAGGGGTTGCAGCAGCTGCTGAGGCTGGCCAGCAGCATGGTGATGGTGAAAGCCACGTTGGTGGACTCTGAGGAGGCAAGGGAGAGAGCTGAAACCTCCACCAGGCTGGGGCAGGCTCTGGGCAGAGTCCCAGTGTGCAATGGGTACTTTCTGGCTCTTTCTGGCTTGAGCTCTTGTCTTTTGTCCTTTTCTCATCTGCCTGGCATTTCTTTGGGAAGGAACATTGGCAGCACAGCAGGCAGAGCTGGGCTCTGCCCTTGGCTGAGGTGGAGATGTGCTGTCCTGGGGATGTGTGGCAAGAGGAGACTTTTTGGACCTAGGAGAGGGACCTGCTCCTGAGGCAGTCCTGGCAAAGGACAGGAGCAGCAGGCACAGGTAAAATCCCCCTGCAGTCACACCCCAAACACACCAGCTCCTCAAGCAAATTCTTACATGAGGGAAGAGACACACATGTCAAAGATGTCCCCTCACCACCTTTCCATGTCCCTCTGGGTGATGGTCAGCAGCCACTGCTTTCCAGAGCTATTTCTGGTCAAAGCAGTGATTTAGATCTGCAAACAGCTTTCTATAAGTACTCCAGGGGAGTGAATCTGTAGCCATCCCTCTGACAATTAAAATGATACAATCAGACTGCACCTTCTCATGGAAGATGCAACGGGCACCCTGTGTGCCTGGGGGACCCTGGGCTCTGCCAGGGCTCTGGGCTGCAGCCCAACACCCCCACCACTACTCACCATCATCAGGAGCATCGTCGTCCCACACCGACCACAGCTGCATGCTGAAGAAGGGGGCCCAGCAGGCCACGTAGGCCACCACGATGACAAAAGTCATCTTCACCGTGCGGATCTTGGCGCGGGAGATGGTGCGCACGCTGCTGACCCGGGAGGGCTGCCCGCCGGGGCACTGCCCGCCCTTCTCCCACCAGCAGGGAGCTGGAGAAGCAGCTGCTGCAGCCCCCCCCGTGCTGGGGGCACCGCTCTGGGTCTTGCCCTTGAGGTTCTTGCAGATCTCGTAGCAGATGAGGCTGTAGCAAACGGTGAGGATGGCGACAGGCAGGATGAAGATGCACAGGGTGGTCCAGGTGATGTAGGCTCGGGCTCCCCAGGGGTACCTGAAGTCTGCCCAGCAGTCCAGCGGGCCAGGCGGGGCGGGCGGCGGCCCAGCCGGGGGCCCCCGATCATCAGGTAGGCCTGGCGGCCGGGCTGCTGCAGCGTGCGCAGCGGGTGGCACACGGCCAGGTAGCGATCCAGGGTCAGCACGATCAGCATGTAGGTGGAGGCAAACATGCTCAGCACCTGCAGGTACTTGACTGCCCTGCAGAGCGGGTCGGGCCCCAGGAAGCGGTAGGTCATGTCCCAGATCATCTGTGGCAGCACCTGGAAGAGGGCGACCCCCAGGTCGGTCAGCCCCAGGTGCAGGATGAAGAGGTGCATCCGGCTCATCTTCCTCCGCAGGCGGTACACGGCCAGCAGCACCCCCACGTTGCCTACAGTGGCTACAGCCAGGATGGTGGCCAGCACCCCCACCTCTGCCTTGGCCAGCTCCTCATCCCGGGTGTGCAGGAGGGTCAGGTTGGGGTCCCCTGCCAGGGTCTGGGGGCTCAGCAGTCCCAGCCCGTGCCCAGGCTGGCTGTGATGAGTCCCATTCCAGCCCCAGCCTGGCTCCATCCCTGTGGGGAGCACTGCAGCAGCACAGGCAGCTGTAACACTGGTCCCTGACAGCCTGTCCCAACCCTTCCCTGCCCAGGGCTGAGTGTTTTGGGTCAGAGCTGTCCCTGAGCTCTGCTGCACCCACTGGGGGGGCTGGACATGCCTCCTCCTGTGCTCCACCCCACTGGGGCAGGTTGTCACCTCCTTCCCCTCGCACAGCTCCACGCTGCAATAACCTGTGCTGTGGGGCTGCAGTTCCCCTCTCCTGCCGGGCTGATCCCTGCAAATATTCCCAATGAGCAAAGAGTTGCAAGAGACCCTGGGTCAGTCCTTGATCTTTCTCTCCCCTGCCCTAAACATTCCCAAATCCTTGTTTCTCCTGGAACTGCTCATCTTGGATGTTCCTCCCTCCCCTCCACTGGCAAATGGAGCGCAGGGGGTGAGTCCTCTTTGTTGCTCCCTTCTAGAGCAGCCAAAGTAACAGAAACCCCTGCAGAGGCTGCAGCTCTTTGGTCTTTTCGTTCCAGGAGCAGTAAAACCCGGGTCGGGGTGTCGGAGGGTCGGGGTGTCCCTGGTAGGCGCTGCCTCCCCTGCTGGCTCTGGCTGGCAGGGCTGGAGGCTGCTCCGGGTTTTATAGCCCGGCAATTGGTTCTTTCCCCGCCCGGCCCCCCGGCTCTGCGGGCTGTCCCGGGCAGGTGACAGCCGGGTCCCCTCCCGGGGCCGCAGTCCCTGGGCTTTGCCAGCAGGTTTTGCCAACTGCGATTTCTAGGCAGGAGCAGAAGGCTGGGAATCCTCCCGTCCTTGTTCCCAGCAGCCTGGCAGGGCTGAGAACACTCTGCCCACCATTTGCACTGTCCCTGAGCAGTCAGAGTCCCTCAAAATCTCCTCCCTTGGCTTCTCCTGGATCCATGGGAGAAGCCTCTGCCCCCAGAGCCGGGCTGGGGGGGCTGGGGGTCCCACCAGAGCAGCAGGAGCCTGACCCTGCCTTGGTGCAGCTGGGGCTCAGCCCACAGCAAAGCCAGGGGAAACATCATCTCCTGGCACAGTGTCCTGAGGCTGCCTGTCCCCATCTGCTGTGCCCTCCCGCCGTGCAGGGGCTGGAGGTTGTCCCTGAGGCAGGGCAAAAGCTTAGTCCTCAGCTAAATGCTGCTGTTTTACAAGAAAACACCTTGGAGGTGAGAGGTGCAGGGTCCTGCTCATCCCCCGAGCAGCTGCCCCATCCCTCATCTGCACAGAGCCTGGAAAAAACATCCTGGGGGAGGAAAAGCTGCTGGGGAGAGGGGAGCAGCAGAGGCCCCAGAGCTGCAGGCTTCGTGGGAAGGTGAGAGCCAGGGGAAAGGTGGTGGGCAGCAGAAACACCCTAAAAGGACAGATGTGCTACAAACTGCATGGCTGAAAATACAGATGTGACCACAGCTGGAATGTGTCTTGCCAGCTGTGATCAAGCACAGGGCAGGAAGCTCAGGCACCTGCTCTCCTGCCTCTTCTCCTGATCTTCCCACTCTTTTTTGACCCTCCAGTGTATCTTCCCACACTGTGGGGCTGCAAAATATTTTGGTTGCACAAACATCCTTGCACACCTACACAATCATCCCTGCACACCTACACAATCATCCCTGCACACCTACACACACATCCCTGCACACCTACACACACATCCCTGCACACCTACACCCACATCCCTGCACACCCACACCCACATCCCTGCACACCCACACACACATCCCTGCACACCTACACACACATCCCTGCACACCTACACAAACTCACGTTGGCTTTGCAACCTTCAGGCTCTGTGTTTCCTCTGCTGGCCATTGAACTGTGTCCACAAGGAGTGAAACCTCAGTTATGGCCAAGGTTTGTTCCTTTCTCTGCTGGGGAAAGGGAGCAGCAGCAAACAAAAGAAACACATGGGCAGGGGCATCTTCTGAGCACTTGTCTGCTCGTCATGGGTCTGTTCTGGCTCCCTGTGATATCACAATTAAGCTGCCTGCAGGAAGGCTCCTGTTTGCTGAATAAAGATTTGCAGATCACCTCTAATAACCATAAATGATCCCAGTTTGTATCTAATGAAAAGACATTCATCCTTATAAGAGAGCTTATGGATATAAAGTACCCCTGGCAGGAAAGTGTCTGGCTGAGGTGCTGGAGTGAGAGGCAGGGAGGAATTTCAGTGAAGAATGGAGGTTTCTGTATTTCTGATCAGACAGCTGAATTTCTGGGAGATGCAAAAAACCCTGCAAAGCTCAGAATGCTGAGTTGAGGGTTGATCTGGAGGGGCAGATCCTGCAGAGAGAAAGGACCATTTCAGGAGTTTTGAGGGCAGACTCAGCTTTTTCTGGCATCAGTTTGATTTGGGAGCAATTCCTTGGGAGGTTGGCTCTGCCTCTAGCTTTCCTCCACCAGTCCCAGCCCACCTGTAGCTATTTCAGCTGTTTCCCATGAGCCAGCCCTGGAGGAGCAGAGGTTGGAGGTGTTGCAGGATGGTGAGGATGCTGCTCTTTATTTTTTTTTTTGTAATATATCCTTTTGTGTGCCCAGAGGAGGGAGGAGGTGTTTGCTGTGCAACCCTCAGGGCTCTGTGCTGCTGGTTACTGCTGCCACAGGGTGATCTGAGCCCTGAAACAGCATGAAAACTCTTGTTGCAAGGTCTGTGTTTCCCTCCCCTTCCCTCTGGGTGCGATGCTGGGGCCTGGGACCGTGTCACTGGATTTTGAAGCTCTTACTTGGTTTGTCAAGGTAACACTGGGTTATGTAGCTAATTTTTGGCAGCTTAGCATCAATGCACCGTGAAGCATCACAGATAAAAAGCTGCTTCTATCACCAGCCAGCACTCTGCCCTCCTTTACTGCAGAGCACAGGGGTGAGGGGTCTGTGATTGCTGAGGCTTTTGGCACAGCAGCTGGTTCCTTTGCTTTGTGGGTAACTGCTAAACAAATAAATAACATTTGTTGGCTAGAGCTGCCATGCTGGCTTGGCTCCCTTCTCCACAGAAATACTCTATTTGTGGTATGTGAGGGTGTTAAGCTCACATTGCTGACAGCACAGAGCAGGCTTGCTCTGTCTTTTAGCATTTAATCACTGAAATGTCTTCTGTGGTTCAGGCCAGGAAAAAGCAAGATGTGGTCATTTTGCACTGGTTCAGATGCTGTGAAATTAATGGTGTTGCAACTGCTTTGTAGCAGCGTGGGATCATCTGCTTGGAAAGGCTGAGGGCAGCACTCAGGGCTGGAAGTTCCTGGTGTCTAATGTTACTTTTAATGCCAATTCTTTGTCAAAATTAGGCTGTGGATGACTTCCCCTCCTGGAAATAGAAACTGCTGAGGTTTTCCAGTTCTTAAAGACTTCAGGCTCTGTGAAAGCCAAGCTCATTCTTACTGTTGACCTAACTCTTTGTAGGCCAGTCCTTTTGTTTTTCTCAGACTTGGGGAGGTTGGAAGCTGAAAACTTGATGTAATTTGAGTTTTTATTGCTTGGAGAGTTCTCAGAAAAGCGACCTTGAGGTGCCTTGTCAGGGAACCAGATTTCTCTGCTGTGTGGCCATTGACCAGGGGATGGGATTGCACCTGTTCCTGGGAGAGCTGGAGGGATTAGCAGAGCCCTGGTCTGTCCTGATACCATATGAAATGTCCCCAAAAATGAAATTCTCTCTAAATGGACACCTGGTCCAACGCTTGCCTGTGACTCTTGGTGCTCTCTGGAGGGAGGGAGCCCTGCTGGAAAGCTGGGCAGCAGCTCCTGTTGTGAAGCTCTGGGAACCACAGGCAGGAGCTTTTATAGTTTTCAGGTAATTATAAGTCACATGTGTCAGTCTCCCCTTTTCTTTCCCCCCTTCCCTTATTCAGATTGGGGTTTTTTTTCCCATTTAATTAAAACCTCTGATGCTGCTTAATATTAGAGAGCATGTCTGGGCATATAAATAAATATGCAGAACATGTGGCAAGGGCCCCAGAGCTGGTGAGGGACACTGGGAGGCAGAGCCAGCAGTTTGGATTTTAATGGGAAAAACCAAGTGAAGCTGCGAAAATTGGCAAGGAGAACAACAAAAGCTGACAGTGTTGCATCAAAGAACCAAACTATAAAGTATCGGTGCTTAAAAAATGCTGCCTGGATGAGAAACTTGGGGGCCTGAGCTGCTGTGTCTGAGCTGTGAGTTTGGCTCAGCCCGGCTGAGCATCCTTCCCTTCATCCTTCCCTTCATCCTCCACCCTCTCTGCTGTTTGGGGCCAGCCCTGCCCACCCAAGCACCCCAAGTCTCCCAAAACCTGCCCACCTGTTTGGGTGCCCCCCAAGCCCCACAGCCTGCATGGGAAGGGTCTGGGCCAGCCTGCTGCCCTGGCACTGCAAGGTGA